GCTTGCACTCTGGGAGAAATGTATTCTGTATATAATGGTCAATCTTCTCATTCTTTGGTAGATGTTCCCTCGGAGTTTAGCCAAATCTACTTTTGACATTTAAAGCTCTCAACAGTGAACAAGAGCAGTGTTATAGTGCATTCGTCTATTTGATTTCTGTTCATATGAAATAAAGATTACCTTTACTTTGTTTTAACATTGTGTTCTGCTTTTTTATGACTCAGTCAAATTTAGTAATTCCGATTTAACTATATGTAGCCCTTTTTTGCAATTCCTCACATTATTTTGGGGACTATTCTTATCTTTAAGATATGCAGTGCACCTGAGAGTGCTGCAGAGTAACGTTGTAAAGAAAATATTCGTGCCTTGACCATATGATTTCTTTTAGTGGAAGTTTTCTGTTTTTCTTGATGCATGTACTTTTCTGTGCTCTTTTGAACTCTTGTATGGCATAAGTTTTGAGCTTTGCACTATGGAGCAATCTCTAGAGAATACCCACTGGAAGATGACTCTCCTTTCGTGACTCATTGTTCTGCCACCCATGAGTAAAACCACATATTTGTTAGGTACCTACACTACTTCGTATCTCTGAAATCGTGATTGTTTTTGTTTGATATTGACAGAGATGCTACTAAAGGTATGATGTTACCACCGTCTCAGGTGAGTTAAGCGAAGCAGATTTCTCCTCTGATGTGTTCAAAAGTGCAGTCAAGTAATATCTGGACTACTTCCCAAGGTCCATCCTTCACTCAAGTAAGTGTTAGCAATTCATATCACAAATTAAGGGAGACTGTATCCTCAAGGTATCACTTGACTTGTCAGTGAAGAAGATTGCTGTCTAATGTCACATTGTAAGTTCAATTTACAGACATCTATTCCAAGAGAAGGTACATGATATCACGGGTTAATGACCTAGAACAATAAGTTTTCAGCAGAAACAATTGGTCTGACAATTTCCACAGTAGGTCCATTTCCAATATTCTAATACCAGAACATGGTAACTAGAGCAAAAGAAACTTACCCACTTCCTTGACCAGCATTCTATGTTAAATTACATACACCCGGATGCACAAACATTTTGAAATATTTTAGATGAACTTTAGAGTTATCTTTACAAAATAAAGGGGTAGAAAATACCCATTATGTTTGCATACTACATAACACACTTTCTTTCACTCGTAGCTGCTTGCACAAATGCCACAATCTACATTAGGCTCCTCAATCTGCACTGTCTATGCTTTTCCTTGCTGCATGACAAAAGTACTGATATAGCTGTGATCTCTTCAGTTTCTCTTCCCAGAGCTCCTATGGAATCAATCATGGTATCCAACAACTAGTGGAATTTACTATTGCATGGTGTTATATTAATATTGCTGTAGCAGTAACTTTTACTTTTACTTGGGGTCCAGGATCAAGACATTTGGTGAACACACAGGTTTTCATCATGTGGTAAAATATTCCATTGAAAATTTCATGTTGCAGGAAGATGCTCATATTACATTCACCCTTTCTGCATGTAGTGGTGGTAATACCTGACGAATTCTGCAATAATAAGTAGTTCATATTTTGTTATGTAGCATGTATTCAGAAGCTATCTACATATGATTAGCATCATGAGCATATATTCATCTCCATTCTCCAACTGTGACAATACCACCTCAATTCTATTATCACCAACATTGGTGTCCAGTTGGAAATGACAATCCTATTATGGATATGCTGATATGAGTGTTTGAGAAAAGTACATTTTCGTGCATGAAATACTTGGTTACTATCTCCAGTCCATCTAAAATGTGAATCAGATTTTGTGAGAGCAGATAATGTGCAGCAATGTTGGAAAAAGTAGCCAAAACATTGGTTATGGGATGGAAAACCAAGGAAATTGTGGTGGATCTCATGCTTGGTTATGAGCGGAGACAAGTCTCATATTGCTACAAGGTTTGTAGATATGTAGAGACTCCACATTTACCCACTGTGTGACAAAGGAACTCCAGTTGTATATACATAAGCTCACACTTTCCTGGTTTCATTTTCAAGACCGACTTCCTTATTCTCTGAAGCACAATGATCAAGTTCTTAGCAGATAAAACCATGGGACCAAACATCAAGATATCATCCACATAGATCAGACACCTTGTCCACCGGTAGTAGCCTTTCAGTGAAAGCTCCTGTAGCCTATCCAAAGTGGTAGGCACGATACACAGGTTACAATTGTAGCTTGCACTAATGCTCTAGCTCAACTTACCAGTATGTGGAAGGCAGGTCTAAAGAGTTGAATCAATGGATGTATCTAATAGTTCCTACCATTCGTTGTTCTGTGAAAGTAGAAGTGCATCAATACTGGTTACCACTTTCTCACATATGTAAATCAAAACAGGATCTTAGTAAACACTACTTTTCCTTGACAATTACTCCTCAGAATGACCACACAATCTCTGAAGGACGTCTTTTAATTTATGCTGTATTTCAGCCCTGGTTACGTCCCTAGCATTTCAGGAAAGCATACACAAAGGTTATATAATTAGACATGCATCACCTATATCTAGGTGAGAGCGAGTTACAGTTATTTGACACAATTGACCATCTAGTTCATAAATGTATTGGCATATTTGGCCAACAGTTTACTAAGCTTTAGAAGCTATGTCGAGTCTAAATTGTTTGCACAGTCATGACATGAAAGGACAAAAACAAATCTAGTAGTACTAATAGACTCAGCTACTTTCAGTTTGCTTACCATGCCAATGAACATTCTGAGAAAAGCTAAATAGCTAAATATCCATAATCACAGAGCAACATTGGGATTACATCATTTCTCAGAGAGATAATTGTTCAAGGACACAGTGGATTTATGTATTGGTTCCATAACTGCATTATACAATAGCAACCCACTAGAATTCATCCATAGTACACCACAACACATTTCTTGTGCAATTGGAGGCACTGTGACTTCTTCCTCAACAAATTCGTATTCTATTCACTGTCCTTGGACCAAATCTTGTTGGCAATGAATGGTTTTCCAGCAGACAGAGGTTTCCTGTTGCATAGTAAAATTGACATTTTACACAGTAGGTCCACCTCCAATATCCCAATACTAGAATCGAGATTGGCAACAACTATATCTATCTTTTGGATTACGTTGTCTAGATATAGCTGGAGACCTGCATTTTCATTCATATCTAATCAGCCAACAATCACCAGAACAAAGTACGTATCAACTGACCAGAATGATGGCTTTACTTAGCATGCCTGATACACAGTGAGGCCAACCAATGTCTTGAGTGCTCCTCTATCAGCCAAGAACTCTACCACTCATCCATGTACTTTAGTTGGTTAATACTAACCATCACTTAGTTCTGAGAGAGTTGGGCTGACCACTATTTCTTTTTATGTAAACTGATTGCTGTATTTTTATTTTTATTTTTTTTCTTATTTGTAGTCAGACCCAACCTAGGCTGCAGTAGTTTTTCAGATTTGGAGGAGTAACAACGATAGTTTACTAGTAATCCATCTGCATCTGTTTTGCAGTAATTGAGAATAAGTAGTTTTGTCTTTCTTGTTGTGAAGTAATGTATGGGAAATTCACTGTAAAGTGACCCATTAACATATGCTTTGATACTCCTTTTCAGTACAGGTACCCATGAGTGAGGTTAGGAACATTCCTCCCCAACATTAAATGTTGTGGTGAAAAAAAAAAAGATCTGCACAATTACTGAAGCATTTCAAGCTTAAAGTGGCTGAACTCAAGGTCAGACACCTCATTCTTGATGTTAACTTTGTGTAGCCCAGCCTTTGACTCGACTGAGCACTTGAGTAAAAAGAAACTTGGGTGAATGTGATAATACAGTCATGGTTGAGTTGAACTGGTGTTTTGACATGTTGGAGAACTGAGCTGTCCATCTGGCCAACTTCAAGTTTTGAAAAAAAAAATTTCTATGGAAAATTTGAGCACTTTCATGCATAATTTTCACTGTCTATACACAGAAATGTATATTGCATTGATGTATCTGTTTTGGTATATGAACAGCTTCACAAAATCTTTAAGACCATTTACGATATGTCAAAAGTCTATTATTTCATGTTTCAGCTAAAATAAATCAATGATATAAAAAAATAGTGAAATATATAATGTAAAGGCCAAATAGTACATATTCTAACATTTTTTCTCACGCAATAAATCCTTTTATGTTTAATTTTCGCGCAAAGCTACACAATGATTATCTGCACATAGCTATCCCTAAAGTTGAATGTATGTGACTTTGATAGCTGCTTTTTCTTTAGCCTGCCAGTCCAAAATTAGCGACGACTAATTGCATATAGTTCTTGTGAATTGTGTACTTTTGCGCGAGCCCACCAGTGGCACAGCGGTATATCCGCGGACTTACAATGCTAGAAATCGGGTTTCGATACCAGTGGTGGGCAGAGCACACATAGCCTACTGTGTAGCTTTATGCTTAACTTCAAAACAAAACAATCAAACTCTCGCACGGAAGTTCTAAAAACAAACTTCCTTTTTATAGTTTATTTTAAAACTGAAGAAATCAAGCAAAGCCTAGTTTTATATTTTCTGTTTGCCTGTTAGAAATGATAAATTTACGAAATATAATTCTTATGGATTTGTTTTCATTTTCTACCCTGTATTTGATGTAATACTATTTGTAAAATTCTAATTTTATCAGATGACCCATCCTGCACGTGAATGGAACTCGAAACACACACACACACACACAAAAAGAAAATTGGCAGTTATTATTTATGTGCTGCATTTTTAAATATTACAATATAAAGATACATTTGTTTGTAAAATAGAAAGAGAAAAACCAAACAATAAAGCTAAAACAACAAAACAATAATAATAAAATTGTCTTACAATGACTTTTTTCTTTATTTGTAATTATAGATGAGTTTTAGAACCCATGTTTGAAATTGTTTGGTCGATCTCGTGTTTCATATTGAGAAACTGATTCAGTATGGTTACGAATCCCCTCAAGAGATGACTAGAACTGATTTAGCATAAGTTACAAAATGTTTAATCGAAAACGAGAGTGACCTAATGGGTATTTAGCTCTCGAATTATAAATCTCTTTAAATGTAATACCAGTAATTTTGTTTTTTTTAGTGAAATGTTATCTTGATTTTGTTAAAATGAGTATAGCAAGTGTAGTATTTTTTACATTTCATTTTACTTCTTTCATATAGTTTTATTTAAGTTAAAGTTACCAATTAGTGAATTACCGAATTACAATTACATTGGACAAGAGTATAAACTAATAAAGTGTGAGTGTGACTCATTAGTACTATTAATAGTAGCCGACTTTGCCGTAAAAGTTGGAATTTGGATTCTTAATTGGACATTGGAACCTTTACATCTTGGAAGAAGAAAAAAAAAAAAAAAAAAAGAGACGCCGTGTTGGAACTTGTTTATCCTACTTCTATTAGTCGGACTTTGTCAACAAAACAGGGAAATTGGAAAGACAAATATTGGATTTAGGCTTAGATAAAATGTAAGTTTTTTTCGTGTTTTGTTTTTTTGTGTGTAAAATTGTATTACTTATTACAATGTACATAGGCCTAACCTTTTTGTTGTAAATTCTAACACTAATAGTAAATTAGTATACATAGTAATGTCACATTTTATAATACTAGATCAGTGGATCAAAGTTCCAAGATTTTAGATGTGATAACACTGAACATACCATATACTTCCAGTTGTGGATATGTTCAACGATCTATTATTTAGATCAAAGAATAGAGTCCTTGTAATTGTGAGTACTGTTGGTCTACTACCCTAATTTTTTTTCACTTGTTTAAAATTGTGGACATCCATCTGTACTTCAGTTCTAGGTTTCTGACCTGGCCATTTAATTTTAACTAATTTGTGCACAATATATAAATTCACAATATATAAATGTGCAAATACATTTAGAAAAGTGAAAATAGTTCCATATAACAAATCTGGCTCTAGTAAAGTGTTACTCAAAGTTCAAACTATGTACAATTTTGAAATTAGTGATGGCATATGGTAGTTAATGCAGTGGCATTTTATGATAGATGACAAGTATGTTAGCAAAAACAATTGTTATAAAACAACAACCTAAAATATTTTGCTTTTAATCTCTCTCTTTTTTTTTTTCAATCATTAATATCAAAGATTAAGATTTTATAATAAAATAAAACTGCTGATCAATAACTATAATATTTAAAAATACTAACACATCTTCTTATGAATTTAAGATGTCAGTTTCAATTGAATTTAATAGATTACCTGTATTAGATTAATTATTGGAACATCTCTTATAACTGAAATGTAATTCAAAACCAGAATTAACATGCACTACATCAAAATGTGTAGTTTCATTTTATATCATTGTATGTTTTAGTATCAGAGGGACATTGAAGTTTATTACTTTAAATTTACAGTAGTTTGACAATTTTAGATAGTCCTTTGTTCAGAGCAAATAGAAAAGGTAAGTTCAGTTTTATGTTATTTGAAGGATAAAGGATATCAGGATTTGAAAACAAAGTTTTTAGGATTCTTTTACTGTATTCTGCTAGCATTATACAATTATTGTTATCAATTTTTTAGGAGTATTTTTTTATTTTACGTGAATGTTTAATATCTTATGGGCAAAATGTGACAAAGTTTATGCTTTAGTTTTACCTTGGAATGCTGCCTGTAATTTTATGTTTTCACCAAACATATTCAACCAGTATGAAACTTAATGTAAGTTTTGTTTTTAACTTGGTTAACATGCTTGTCTTGTACCCTGCTTGTGTATCAAGTGAATCAAAGTAGAAAAAATCTCTTCAGAATGGACAACGGCATTTGCTTTGCTGGTGTCTTGAGTAATGCACTTAAGGTGGATTTTTTTTTGCGGTGGATTTGATGTCCTACATTTGAGGACAGTATGTGTGATTGTTGTTAACAGCAAAGTAAGTGAGCAGCAGCAATTATGAATTTTAATCTAGGTATAGATTTGGATTACTACAGAACAGTTATCAAATGTATCCTATGTTAGAATGTACTAAACATCCTTTCACAGCTTAGGCAGATTATATGTGATGTAATGTTAAATATGTTAATATTTATTTCGCCCTCAGATAAAGAATGTTTGCAGAACAAGACTCAGTATAAGAAAAGAATGTTATTATTCTAAAACTGCACATAAAATAATGATCCTAAAATGTCTTTGAAGAAACAAAATATAAAATATAAGGGTGCTACTAGATTTTACTGAAATATATTAGAATAGTAGCATACTTCCAGAAATGACCTTTTTAGATCACATGATTTCTGGGAAGTGCAACATTAGCATTCGTTATTTTGGATGTCAAGCTGTCCATTGTTTCATGTTAGTGGTAGAGATAAAGCTAAATGATTACATTTTGAATCTTGAAAGCTATGCCAAAATTTCTTATGAATATAAGCTGGGAGAACATTTTATGGATGATTCTGTTGTTTTCAACCAATATATTATTCTACAGGTAGCAGGGATATAGGATATAACTAACAAAGCAAATGATACAATATAGTATGTTGATAGTAACATTGGGGCTAATATCATAAATTTCATAAAATTTTAAACAGATAAAAAGGAGCTTATTAGCCAATCAAGGATGTCCCTTCCAGCTCCCAACTATAACCACCCCTTACGACTCATGTATTTGTCCAATATTTTTTTGAAGTCAGTTAAATTTTCTGCCTACATCACTATTGAAGGCAGCTCATTCCAGAAGCCAACACCCTGTTTAAAAAAGTAATACTGTCTATACTGCAGATGACTCCTATGCTGCTAAAATTTGAATTTATGACTCCTTGTCCAATTGTTTTCACTACTAAACACAAAGTTTGATGAATCTGTATTATCAATACCCTTAATAATCTTAAACACCACAATCAAATCCCTTCTGACTCTTCTCCTTTCCAGAGAAAACAAGTTTGGAGATAGTAGTCTCTCCTCATAGGACAATCCCACCATCTCAGGTATCATCCTAGTGGCTCTTTTCTGAACCTTCTCCAACAATTCAATGTCCTGGTTGAGGAAGGGAGCCTAAAACTGTACACAGTACTTTAAATGAAGCATTACAAGTGATCTATACAGTTAAACAATATCTCTTGTCTTGTATTCAATATTTCAATAGATGCTATCCAAAACCCTAATAGCCCTATTTCTAACTACAATACACTGTATTAGAAGACTTAAGTGATTTTTGGATCACATCACCAATATTTTTTTTCTTCAACCACAGTATTTAATGTATTCCCAAATAAATTATAACAATAATTTGAATTGTGAAAACCTACATGCATCACCTTACATTTTGGATAGTTAAACATCATCTGCCACATACTGGCCCAATGCATCAAATGATCTAAATCTCCCTGTAAGTCTGCAGCATCTTTGATATAGTCAACCACCCCAAAAATCTTAATGTAATCTGCAGACTTCAATATTTTGTTAGTCATTCCAGAGTCAATATCGTTAATATAAATCACAAACAGCAGAGGACCCAGCACAGAGCCTTGAGGCACACTGCTTGTAACTGTGATCCAGTTAGATCTAACTCCATTTATTACTACTCTGTACTTTCTACTCTCCAGTCAATTTTCTGTCCAATTTATTAACATTTTCCACAGATTTAATTTTTGTAACAAGTCCTTAAGAAGCACCTTATCAAACACTTTCAGAAAATCAAGGTAAACCAAATCCACAGTATTTCCTTCATCAACTCTTGCAGTAACATCCTCAAAGAATTGGGAGATTTGTTAAACAAGACTTTTGCTTAGTGAAACCATGATGGCTCTTTGACACTATATCAAACTACTTTATTGCATATTGATTTTTCCCTAAATGCTTCCTATATCTGTTCAAGATCCCCTCCCAACTCTAGTCCAATCTACAGAAGCCAGATCATGTCTCATTCTATCAAAATAGGCTTTCCTGAAATTTGGAATCAAGGTACTATTCTTTAATTCTACGTGTAGTAAAATCCCAAACCTAATAGTGCAATGGTTGCTTGTATGTAAATGCTCGCCAACCACCACTCTGTCTATCATGTTCACATCAGATGTAAATATTAAATCTAATAGCTTCCTCTCTTGTAGGTTCCATCACCAGTTAGTGTATAAAAGTATCCTGAACAATTTCCCAAAACCTATCCCCCCCTCACTGTAAGCCTCAAAATAATCCCAATCAATACCCCTGAAATTAAAATATCTCATAATAACATCTTTTTCAGCTACCACTCTGGTCTCATTATACAATTTCTCATTAACTTCTACATTCTGGCCTGGTGGTCTATAACAAATCCCAACTACAAGACTTTTCCCTTTATATCCACTAACACTAACCTTAACTGACTCATGTTCAGTGCTATTTTCTTTAATATGCTCTAACTCAACTGGATGCAGTTCACTCCTCGTTTATAAAGCTATTCCTTCCCCTTTTTACTCTATGTACGTGTTACTCAACCCTTCTCAATATGCAAGATTAACACTGTTACTAAGTTCAATAAACAGTGTTGAAGAACCAAGTATAACCCACATGCTGGATTGTTTAACAGAGGTTTGAACTCCATTACTGCCAAAATAAAATGAGCTCTGCACTTTGGGTATGTGAATGTGTTATAAAAGTGATGGCCGAATTCCACCACTTGGTCTGACAAGTGGAGCCCAAGAATTAGCAAAGGGTGACACTAATTAACTGCGTTGCATCTAGTCTGTCACTTCAAAATTTGGGATAGCTGATGAAGATAGCCCTTAAGTAGCTGTGCACAAAATTTAACAAACAGTGTTGAAAATATTATTATTTTTATTTGGGATTTTCTTTGTTAAACATTAGAATAAAGGTCCTCTCTAATCACAATCCTATCTAATCTGTTATTTTCAATAATGAATCTCTGTACAGGTTCGGTAGATTTGACCGATCTCGTGATCATAAGAAAAAAAAGAAAGGAAATAAATATATACTATGCCTCTTCATTCTAGAATGAACACAAATTATAACACAAAAACATAAATGTTTAGACTAAATAGCTTAAATCTCATAACATTATACATTTATATATATTTGTTATTTTTAATATATTGACCTGGCACACGTGCACTCATGTTATGGTATCCAATAACATAAAACTGACCTTTGGTTTGTATGAAGTAACTTGTCTTGGCTGTGTTTTAGTAGACTA